TATAGATCTTTGTTACTTTACAACGTCGTCCGAGCACAATGTGAGTAGCCGATCCTTCCAACTCATTGCAGCTGCTGCCAATCTCGTTGTCTATGCATGCATGTGTGTGTGTATATGTGCGAGCACGCACTGGTTTACGTGTGCACTCGTACTTGTGTAATTTTGTATGTTGTGTAAAAAAAGGAAATGCAGTCAATAATCGAAATCAACTTGCAACTCGGCAAACTCATAATGGCCGTGCCATTTTTCTGTTTCCTGTTTTTTTCTAGCCACTCAATGATGATTTTACTTTGGTTTTCCTTTTTTTGTTATTCGCTTCAAGTACTCGTATTTTCTTTGGCAATCGCTTTAGTTTCGGCGGTAGGTAGCTGCCACCACACTCGTGCATTTTTTGTGCTTTTCTGCACTCTTCTGGCCATTTTTGTTTGCTTGAATAACAACGCAAATTGCACAAAGTTGCGGATACGATTTAAACTGTGTAACGTATTGGAAGTTATATTCTGATATTTTTCTTGTTGAAGATTGAATAGTGTTAGATGTTGTTGTGTTGAGTCTCGATGGCGCCGAATAGGTACTTATACAAGAGGTATTCGTTTTGATTCAATTAAAATATGTCTCGTTCTTTTTATATATATATATATAATAATAATAACCCAACGATTACCCTCCTCCCGCCCAACCGACGTGAGGAGCGCAAGCCATATACATGCGGAATTACCCGAGTCAGAAAAGGCAAGGGAGTTTTTTTAAGCGCTGAGATTCAAAACTGCTCAGCAACAGAAACAAAAATTTCAACAGCTAAGATTTATAGTTACGATATAATAAATTGTTACATTTTTATTTATTAAGAGAAAGCAATGACGTCTTTTTAATTTTGAAAAGTGAGTCAGATATGTCAAATATGCTGGAATGAAAATTAAAATCATGAAATATACGGCGGTATGGTTCGTTTAGTTCGAAATTTGATCAACAGGATTTTAACAGTAGAGGTCTAAACTGACTCAAAAATCGAACTGGGATATTCAATTTAATTTCAGACAAGAGAAAAGAACTGCAAACTGTTCCAATCAAGATTTTCACTAAGAATAGTGTACCTACGACTAGTGTATGAGGGTAGACTTACCCTATAATCCCAACGGAAATGCCCTAACGTGATAAGTAAAAATAGTTTTTGAACAGACTCTAACTTGTCAAAATGGATTTGGTAGATAGGGTTCCATTTTTTCCTTTAATTTCTATCTTTCTCTCTCCTTTCTCCTTTTTTCTATAATACTCTCTTCATTCTTAATATCTGCTTCAATTAATATTATAAGATCTACCTTTCTTTACAGTTCTCTTACCGGTTTCTCCCTCTTTTTTTTCTTCTCACACCGTCCAAAACCTGTTGCTCTTATTTATGCCAAGACATGTTTACTTCTGTCTCTTACTCATCGCTATTGTTCTCTCACTCTCTCTATCTTGCTCTCACATTTCTCAATCTCTGCTTTCCATGATAAAATCTACCTTTTTTTTACAGACACTTTTTTTCCCACTTTCATCGTATTCTTCAATATTTTTCCCTTTTATATCGTCCCTTTCTTTCTTCTCACACACTCCAGAACCTTTTGCTCTTATTTATACCAAGCCATGTATACTTCTACCTCTTACTCTCTCTTTTCTGCTTTATCCTCTCTCTATCCTACTCTCACATTTTTTAATCTCTGCTTGCCTTAATATTATATTATCTACCTTTCTTTACTAATCTTTTCTCCGTATTTTTTCACCATTCATTTCCCCTTACTCCCTTTTCATCCATAAACCTTTTGCTCTAATTGATACCAAGTCCTTTTTTCTCATGTCTCTTACTCTCTCATTTCGCTCTTTGCCTCACTCTATCATATTTTCTACTTTATTTTTATCTTTCTATCGGTATCTTTCTGTTTTAAACTGTGTCTCACTTAAACTCGCTATCTAGAATATGTCATATATAAATGTAGCCACAATAATATTCTTTTATCAACCGGTTGGTTTTCACTTTTATATCAAATTCACTCTTATACAAAATTCTGTTTAAAAATCCAGTCTAGCTTACCAGCCAAGCTTTTATTTCTATTTATATATACCCGCTTGAACTTGAGCCCCTGTAAACTTTTCTAATGAGAGTCTAATAATACACATGAAATGTCATTGTTTTTATATTCAGTACTCTAACTTTCTTCAAGTTTCGATATAGAAACTTTGACAAACATATCATGACACAGGCATTGGAAGTTTCTTGCATTACCTTATGTCCGATAGTTAGCTAACTTAACTATTTACTCGTAAAAGTTAGAAACAAGCAGACATCACTTAAAAACTAATTCTCTAAAATTCAATATACTAACACTTAGCAATAACAAATTCCGTTAAAACAAGATTGTCGTCAATATTAAATTACTTTTTCACATATTTCACGTTCTTCACCAAAATAAGAAACAGTTGAAGTGTATATTTGTATGAAAAAAAAAAGTTGTATTACACGACTTTTTATAACCAATTCTAGATATATTTATTGTGCTTGAAAGTTACGCCAATCTCCTAAATGAACTGGACCCGCGGAAGCCATAACGTAACTATCAACTAGTCCGCTGAGTAAAATATCGAAAAACGGTTAGATTAAGAGGAGATACGACTCAACAAATAAATAGTAATTAAATAGATTAACGTACAAAAGACACGATGCTACAGGAACGAGAAACTAGTAACCACCATCTCTGTGCACAAACAAGCAAATTTTAGGCAGGAATTTCGCGAACTCATATATTGAAGTTTTGCCTCATCGACTGAGAAATTCGTGACTTTTCAAGAAAGATGAACTCGAAATAATTAAAATCGAGAAGCTCAGCATTCTTCAGCTTTCCGAATTTCACATTAAAACAGAGATATTCACTCGAGCTAAATTCTTAAGACGCATTTATCTGAAGTGAACTTAGTCTTTATCGCGTAAATGAAGCGAGCAAATAGGACTAGATAAATTATGCGCTTAAGAGCAAGGACTCGACAATGGGGCTGTCTGGAAGTCGAAGTTGAAGTCCACGAACGGGCCACGATCAAACACCAAATAATTCAGTGAAACTTCGTTATTAAGTTGTATGAAAAAGTCATAAGACCAAGACTTAATATAAAACTTTTAAGACACAAAACAGGTTGGATGAAACATATCAGCTCGTATGATAGATGACGAAAAGGAATCAACGCGTTTGAGTTGCATTAGTACAATAGAACGTCTCGTTTGTAGTCTGCATCCATACTCTTCTTCCACATAGTTATTAAAAAAAGCTACGGAATATTTATGAAACTCGGATAGTATGGAACACTTCTACAAAGAATGAAGTCTTAAAGGTCGCTTTTGAAGATTATGTAGTCCTGGGAGACAATCCGAACTAACATGGGGTTGGCCACATGTGCGTAAATAAATGCAATTGCGTTGTGCTTCTTTGTGATGAAATGCTTCATATATGTATGTATGAGCACCACTACACGCCAAGTAGTAGGAGTATTTACGAGTGAAAGCCAATAATGCATTGTTTGGCTACCGAATTTGAAATGTGAAAAATGCGCAGCTTAAGCGTTGCCTGAAAGATTTTCTAACAAGAAAAAGAGCACGCTTGAAGTAAATGCGTTACACTTTGAACCCAATCGCATTGCATTTTCGATGATTTTTTCTCCTTTTGCAAGGAACCAAAGAAGTGGGCGCAGCACTCTTATGTGTGTATGGAGATGTGTGTGTGTGTGTGTGTGTGGATCAATGGGTGTATGACCGTCCAAGCAGCAAACGGCAAATGCGTGAAAGCGCCGCCTACATCAGTTCCGTACTTATATACATATGTGTATATGTGTGTGCATATACACACCCATACACTGATGGTGGCACCTCAGCATTATATCCATAAGCGTGTTTGTGTCTTCGAGTTCCAAGATATATTAGTTCCCCAACACAATTTGTTTTTCTTTTTTATTGTATTGCATTTTCACTTGACGCATGCAGAAGAAGAAATGAGCTTACTGAAGAATGTCAATATCCTCTTATTTTGTTGTTGTTGTTGCTGCAACTTGTACATACTTCTTGTTGTTTCTAAAACAGCAATGTGGTGCAGCAGCGTTGCTTAACATACATGTGTCGAGTTTTTATTGTTGCTGTTGTTTTTCTACATAGATGGCAACATTTTTGGCTGTTGTCCTCAACGTGGTTGAGAAATTGCTCAACATTTGGTTTGACAACAACAGGAAACCAAACGGGGTAAGAACGCTTTCGAGGCGAATTTGTTCACATGCCTGTGGGTGTGTATGTGTACAAGCATAAAGTAGGAGTAGATTTTGCAAGTTTGGTATTTGCTGTTGTTGTTGTTTTCGATTTTTCTTTCAACGTTAAAGCGAAAAATAGCCGGAAGTCCAAGCTATAAAATCCACACTATGGAGGTGGTCCAATGAAGTGGCGAAAACGCAATCAGCTTAAAGCAGAAAAAAAAATAAACAGAAACGAAATAGCATTTTGTTGATTCAATTTAACATTTTGCGTTGCCACTCAACAGCTTTAGGTGATTATTATTATTTTGTTTTTAAAGCGCGGAAAAGCGGTTGATATGTGGAAAATGTAGCTGTATGTCACAAGGCTAATGCCTTCGACTTAAAACAAGTAACAAATATTTTTAATACTTTTGTGAACATTCATTGAGAAGACGGCAACAGAAAGTCAGCTCGATTAATTTTGATAACTGATGATGGCCATCAATTATGAAATATGTGAGCCGTTCGCACGACACTCGGGTGGACGTATCCAAAACGGACCCGGATTTTTAGCCGTTAAAGGATTGTCAAATCGTTAGCATTTCACAAAATTATTTGGACAATGCGTTCTGCCGCTGCAACAACAACAACAAGGCTATGAGAACGGTTATGAGTATTAATGTCAAAATATAGTATTTCATTCTACTGGAGTTTACTGTGTTACCGAAGTTCTCAAACTGTCATTAATCGCCCCAATTAGCTGTTTATTATGATACGATTTTATGATCCGAATTTTTTATTTAATAAATTTGATGTTTTCTCTATATAGGACAATCGGTTCTATTTAACTGGCATGAACCCAGATTTATATCCAGCAAAGAAATATCAACTCGCAGCGTTTTCCATAATTATTTGGGTCGAGTTTTCTGTCGCTATAACAATAGCAGTAAAAAGAAATTTCGTTGAAGCACACTGTTGGTATAAAATTTTTTAATTATGCTATTAATGTAAGTATTTCAAATGCTCCGCACTGAAAATTTTTCATGAAATACTTACTGTTTCCGATCAGATCTACGGAAAGACAAATGTGATTATAATAACATCCCATCAAGTCACGGCTACCGCAACTCGAATGCATTGAAAGAATTTGAGCGGAAACTAACACATGAACACGGTGCACCATAACTCATAAGGCCTTCGCATAAGAAAGGGGCGACGTATCGAAGAGTGTTAGAATTGTCAATTGGGCCTGAAGAAACTCATAGAAAATTTACCAGAAATCTTTGATAGCGCTGTTGGATAAAAACCCGTTGATTTAACCGATAAGTGGCTTGCAGGAATACATATATTGCAAAAGAGTTAATAAATAAACAACGGTCGTAATGTCTGGAATTATATATTAGAAAACGTGAATGTCTCAGATTAACAAATAATTATAAATCAATATCAGTACATGATTAATAACAATAACAATTTTGAAACTGTACCGAAATTATATACCTCAGAATACTATTTCCTATAAGTTTGTTTCATACGCTTTAATATGGCAACTATCTCTGCAGTTTATGAATTCTATTGTGAACAAAATGTTTCGTTTATTGCGAACAAGAAGCAGCACAAGTATACGATTTGATTTTCTGCCGCACTTGCAAAATATTTAAAAAAGAATTCAAACGTCAAATATGAATTTATTAAGTGCAAAACATAGTGTACATATAGAAATATGTCTTAAGCCAACTGAAAAGTAGGTAATTGAGCAATAAATTTATAAAGTTTTAACCAAGTTATTTTCACAGCCGACTAGAGGCATTGGAAAAGCTACTCGAAGCACCTGTACGTGAGTACATTGCATTGGCAAAAGTACCGCTCGGCGAGTCACTAAAAATTGACGAGACAATAATTGCGAACAATTCCACGCTGGTAGATCTGAAATTGGTTGAGTCCATACTTGTGGAATGTGAAGCCAAACGCAATGGAAAGGTACAAAAAAATTATAATATATAAAAGGTGATACAAATTTGATTGTTTTTGCAGTTACTCACCGAAACGGATTTGCAACATTTAATTTTACATTTCTTCAGCCCTCAAAGGCGTGTAATGGAGTTGGAGACTTTTGATGTTGAATCGGGTGAAGGTGGCGATGGCGATGCAGTACCTGCATCCAGTCATTGGCTTTTACCATCAAGCAGCTTTCTGCATTTATGGGAGAATTTAATTTACGAAGAGGGTTTGAAAGAAAAGGTGTGCATCTCTAGACGTTAAGTTTTTTTTTTATGTCACTGGACTGACAATTTTACAATGTTTATTTTATAAATTACAGCTGGTAAAGTTTGCACTTTCTGCACTGATATTCTCTCAGCACAGCGTAAACCCGCACATAATTTCCTGCAATCGCTTACTACTATTGCACGGTCCACCCGGAACTGGCAAGACTAGCTTATGCAAAGCATTGGCGCAAAAGTTAGCTATTCGTGTACGTCGAACTTTTCGCCATACCCACTTAATTGAAATCAATAGTCACAGTTTGTTTTCGAAATGGTTTTCGGAGAGCGGTAAGCTGGTAATGCGTCTTTTTGCAAAAATACGCGAAATTGTTATGGATCCACATAATCTGGTGTGTGTGCTAATCGATGAGGTGGAATCAATGGCATATGCACGTGATTGCATGTCTGGGCAGGAGCCAAAGGATGCCATGCGTGTGGTTAACGCATTGCTAACACAGCTGGATGCAATTAAAGAGCACCCGAATGTTTTAATATTAGCAACTTCAAATTTAGCTGATACCATAGATTTGGCCTTTTTGGATCGTGCTGATATCAAACAGTATATTGGTTTGCCAAATGTCACGGCTATAAAATGTATTTACGAAACCATGTTAACAGAGATGATGCGTATTGGAATAATAAATGAACAATCCCTAAAAGAGAGTGATCGGCATGAAGGTTTGTTAACGGCGTTGGCAAAGCGAAGCATTGGTTTAAGCGGACGCGCCTTGCGTAAACTCCCGTTTCTGGCGCATGCCGTGCACACGGCCAGTTCGGATTTTGATATGAATGGAAAGATTGAATTAAGTGATTATTTGGATGCGATGTTAGCTGCACTTGAGCAGCATCATGAAGATCAAAAGCAAATAAAAACTTAAGTTATACAACTATTAAAAAAAAATATGTTTTTTTTTGCGTTATATATTAAATTTAAGAATTATTGTTAAAGAGTTCAAAACCGAATTTTATTTTACAATATGTGAAACGAAGTTTGAAGTAATATTTAGTAATATATATTATTTTTTTAAAGATTAGTGACACTATATGAATTTTTCGTGTTGGCGTTGAAATTTGGAAGAACGAGTTTAATTATAATATAAAAATTGCGATTTTAGTTATCTTTTAAAGCTGTCAGAGGCATTTAGTAGGAAACAACTTTTGTTTGAAGAGGAATTTGTAATATTATATATTAATCACTTTCATATATGTTATAACGATTGCACTATAGTAAAAAAAAACCGAAATTATATATCCGCAATTGACGACTTATAGCAACAACTTAAGAACATTTTCTTATTATGTAAGGGGTTTTATTTATTTGTGTATATTTTATATTTTTGAAAATTATGATGGTTACGCCACTATTATTATTTGTTTGTATAATATTAAATTATTGCATAAATAATTTTTCACTTAACCTTAAAAATTACCAAGCAACCAGCTTCTTTATAAAGTCAATACAACAAGCCTCAACGCTTTCGGTTCAGCATATATAGGTATATATGTATGTATATAAACGTATAAATACTCAAAGACCAATTTACTTACATATGTTTGACCAAGTTGGTTGCAATTAAACAGAAAAGCCGGGCGCAGAGTGACAATGTTAATATTAGTTCTTTGTCACTGTGAAAATTGGAAACCAGAAATCGTAACGTTTTTCGACAAACGACGGGGCAAATTTTGTAATGTCATTCGAAAGACGCCATCTAATATTCGTTCAAAGAAAAGTACCAATTTATTTTTTATAAGTTAACAATGTTTGTATGCATATATATTTTTGCATGGACGAGTATATTTTACGCACTGAATTGTAATTTAAAGGTTTTAAACTTTTAATTAAAATTTAAAATGCTTATTTTATACTAATTTTTACCGAGCAGATGTTTCTGGTTGCGCGCACACGGAAAAGGAAAGAGGAAACTAAAAGAGAAAATATTTTTGGAAGGAAATGGTGGGAAAGAAAGGACGGAAAATAACTGTAAAATTCAAGTGCATGTCATTAAACGACGGAAACGAATGTAATAAATATGTTGATAAAGAGCGATATGTTGATAATGAAATTAGCACTCTTCCTCTCTTAATAATATTATATTTATGGAACTACATAATAACATATTGTACAAAGAACGGTTATGCTGGAAGTTGTTAAACGACGTAAGAGAAATCATAACAGGAATCGTGAAAAATTAAAGCGTAATTTTATTTCAAGAAATAATTAAGAATAATTTAAAAATTATTAAACCAATAATAAAATCATTTCCTTCTTAATACAATATAGGTGTTTCGTCGTATCATACGAAAACTTGCAAACTAATCTGAAGAATTTCGTAGCATTACATATAATATATTCATAAGTATGCATTGCACGTAAGATCATATTTTATGTTCAAATCCGAAATAAAACCATTATTTTCGTTTAACAAATTTTATATTATGTAAATATGCAATCAATCACATTATACTTTCATTTAGACTCGATTTCAGTATCTTATCGTCTCTTCAAGGTAATATTTATTAAACTTCCTCCAACCAAAACGTTTCTTTGGATCCTTTTTACTCCATGCCGGTGCTAAATTGGGCATCAAACCGGCCTTTTGAGCCATAGTTACCAATGTACCGATACGTTTCTGTTGCCTATGGCATAATCCTGTAATACGCCGTGGTAACATACAGCCATCAGAGCGTACGTATTGTGACAAAATCAACACATCCGTATGTTTGATATCTAAACCTAATGTGCATTCCGGACAGAAACGCGTGCCGCATGCTTCGTTCAGCATACGATCAGCACGTGGCGAGGGAACTTGCGCAGCTTCCAGGACAAGTGCATTCTTTTCCACTTTTTCATAAACTGCAAATAATTTAGTTGTTTAGTAATACCTTGTAAGGTTATGAAACAATAGCAGAGCGGTAATCGACAAATTTGTAATTTCCATACTAACTTTCTTTAACCAAAACAGTGGAAGAAGTTGTTATACTTCGATTAATTTGTACGGTATTCCGGCATATAGTTTGGGCGAGACAACGTAATAAATTAGACATTTTCATATATAAATTTATCAATTTAATTTTTTTTACAAAAACATATGATCGGGAAAGAAATTGTCTACAGTATTATACTATTCACAATAAAGAAACTATTCACAATACATTTATGAGGTTGCTACAAATAAGCTTAAGCTATATATGATATTTATTGTACAATTTTTTTAAACTTAATGCTTTTACATTTAAAATCACCTAGTCTCAAAGGTAAACATTAGAATATATTTTGTTAATTGATATACACATTTACGATTTTATATTAAAATGTATGTGTAGTTTTTTATGTTGAAATTTCCATGTTAGTAATATGTGATATAGCAATTTTTGGCTTGGCAATCCTTTTGTGTTTATGGAACACACCCTAAAACGATTTACCAGCGCCAATATTAGCATACTGTTATTTCAGTCACACAACTGTCACTTGAAGCCATTTGCACCAAGTTTTATAATCGTCTCTTCCCGTACGCAGTCGAATAACTAAAACGTTAAAAATTTTTTCGTGAATTTTTACTTCCCGTTCTGCATTAAACCAAAGTAGTGGTGTTTGTTAATAATCCAGGCAAAGTTTTAATACATTTTCTCGGCCGAGCTAAATTTTTTTTTGTTTTAATCGTAAGTATATATTCAAGTAAAAGTTTGTAAATAATAATAATAATGTAGGCGTATATAAGATTGTTGAAATAATGTAATTGAAAGCAGAAATATTTTTTATAAAATTACTCAACTAGTGATAAGGAGCGAACTGATTCATTCAAGATGGACGATTAGTGTAGTATTAGAGATACTCATATAATATCACAATTATTCATTTAAACCCATATAAGAGGTTAAGTCATTGGTTATTAGTAATATTTTGTGTAAAAGTTTTTAAATTAGGTCGTTGTGGTCAGGTAGAAAATGGACTGCAGACAAGCTGGCGCAAAATGTCACCACGTTTCGCTACCCACACAAACCAATATATATATATATATACATATTGCAACGCTGTAATACCGAAGCGAAAATGGCGGCGATGCACGATGGCAATCGGTACATTTTCGAAAACGGTAAAAGCTGCCATAGAATTGAAGGAGAAAGTTAAATTTTATGTGAGAATTCTTTTTATAGTGTGATCGGAATTTCAAGTGTTAGTGTACTAAGAAAGTGATTGAACATACACATTTTGTTTAGAGATCATTTTTCAAGAAATAATAGAAAAAAAGAAGTTATTTTCGGTTTCTTTTAACTAAATAAATTGCTATGGCAACGCTGCTAAATGTCAGTCCTGTTGCTGCCTTTGTGTTATCTTCGTCTTTTCGCTGCATTCACTTCGTTAATACCGTTCGGTGATAGACGTGTGATTTTTTATATTTTTTTTTTTTACTTTTTCGGCGCACGTTTCGCCATATTAAAGTTATTTAAAATTTTTTTATATTAAAATATCTACTTTTAGTTTTTAATTTATATTTATTATTTGTAATGGTTAACGAAATTAACTCATTGTGATAAAAGTAAAATAGGAATATTAAATTAAATACTAGAAAATATAAAGAAATATTGCGTGCGTGCGTGTCAATTTCAGTGAGTTAATAAAGAGACGGACATAAAGAAGAATTGACGAGAAGAAAAGGAAAGAAAAAGGAGGTAACAATAAGTAGAAGACCTTTGAAGTTGATTAGTGAATGAATCCGCTAAATTGAGATTTCTACAAGTTTCTAAAACGAACAAAGGAAATAATTTGCTGGTAATTGCGTGAGGTCAAATAGTAAGCGGAAGTTCGTCGAGAAGGCATTCGTTTTTTTTTCTGCAGTTGAAACCTGTAAGTTTAATAAAAAATACTTGCTTCTAGCAGAAACTATTAAGCTGTTGTACCAAAATCTGTATTTATTTAAATATTTTACAACAAATAATTAAATTTATATGTTTTGCACAAATCTGAGCAGGTAACACAATATGATTGTGATTTCAGTTAGTTTAAGATTCCACATTAATTAGCGATCTTGGACTAATTTAATACACGTTTTGTACAAAAGAAACTAGCACAAAGTGATCGGAATGAATACTCATTAGAAAGTGAGGTTAGATGCACTTGCAACTGTCAGGAATCTAAACACATTTTGTAGTATGACCAAATATATTTAAAAAAAAATAACTTGCTATAGTTTGATATGTAATAAATATATGTATATTTACTAACGCTTTCACAATTCATTTGACATATGATACTCTCGTTTGACCATGTGGAGTCGAGTAATTATGAACTAAAAACAGTGTCGAGGTCAAATGTTTAATAAGGCAATAGTAAATAAAATCTAGTTTTTCATATAAAAAATGTATACAGTTTAATAACTAGAACTATTTATATTGTAAAATAATAGAAACACACATTCTTTGCGCTTAATTGTTGCATTGGTTTTATATTTTTTGCAGCAATTTATTGTATGAGTCAAAAAATTGAAAGACCAGTACTATCAGGTCAGCGCATCAAGACCAGAAAAAGAGGTAAGACAAAATCGAAAATTTTTAGTTCTTATTTTTCAACTTATGCTTTTATTTCGCTTACGTAGATGAAAGAGAGAAATATGACCCAACGGGATTCCGTGATGCGGTCATTGCTGGTCTCGAAAAAACTGAAGGTGACTTGGAACAAATCTTTAAATATCTAGACATCGCTGGAAACAAACTTGATTATCGTCGCTACGGCGAAGTACTATTTGATATATTAATTGCCGGTGGTCTCTTAGGTGTGTTGTCTTGTTTGTTAATTAAAAACCTATCCGTATACTGACTTATTCTTCTTGCACTATTTTCAGTTCCGGGAGGATCAATCTCTCAGGATGGCGAGAAGCCCCGCACAAGTTATTGCATATTCGAAGCAAACGAAGACATTGAGACGATGCGCAACCATGAGCAGGTAACACAATATGATTTTGCGAGTTTTTGTAAAAAACGAAAAATATACATTACTTTGCATACAATTAGAGCCATCCGCCGACTGGCAATTATTTGATTGCTCTATGTTGCGGCGGAAGGTGTCGAATGTATGCGATAATAAACGTAACATTTTTACTTGTCTTTGATAAGCTTCACAAAAGTGCAAATCGAAGATTTCTTATGTTGCGACAATATTGTTTTTTTTCTTTTCTTTTGTTTTAATAAATTAATGTTATACTCATATGAAACTTTGCATACAATTAGAGCCATCCGCCGACCGTCAATTATTTGATTGCTCCATGTTGCGGCGGAAGGTGTCGAATGTATGCGATAAAAAACGAAACATTTTTACTTGTCTTTGGAATGCGTCACAAAAGTGCAAATCGAAGATTTCTTATGTTGCGACAATTGCTAATTTAGTTTCAAATATTGTATCCTCGGAATTTTTTCTCGTACTAATATTTACTTCCTGTGTTGTTGCAGGTATTCGTCAAGCTCATGCGCCGATATCGGTTCTTGGAGAAGATGTTCGAAGAGGAAATGAAGAAGGTGTTAGTCTTCATTAAAGGTTTTACACCGAGTGAACGTACCAAACTTGCGCGTATGACAGCGCTCTGGTTAGGTTAGTACCGTTTTTTTTTTTTGTTTTGTTTTTGTTTTTACAGTTTCCTCTACATTTATATTGCATTCCAACTATCCAAATTTGGTTTAAGCAGTTTGTACAGCATGTACCCAATGCGAGAGCTATTAAATAGTTGGAATAGTAAATATTTTTGGCGTACTGACTTTTGAATTAATCCCAAATGCAAAAGACACAAACCCAATAACAGCGGAAAAATTATTCTCATTATTTATTATTTAAGTATTTTTTATATTATTAAAATTGTTAAATTTTTTATATTCTGTTATATTGCAGTTAATGGTTCTGTGCCCCCGACTGTGCTGTTGGTATTGAACAATGAGCATTTGATTAAAGATGGCATTGCACTCGACTTCCTTATCGAGGTATTTGTCGCTTTCAAACAAGAGAAGGGCATTGCACATCTGGTTCAAGCTCTCAAAAAGGGTGGACTTGAAAGCAAGTAAGTAAATTGCAATATATTTTTATAATCACTTATCGTTTAGACCAACAAATTTTGAAATGATAATTTTAAGTCCATCGTACAGCATATAATAAAACACATGCATTTGTTAGCACACTTTTTTGCACAATGAATCTCATGAACTCAACATATTTTCATTGTAAAAGTGTGCAAGAGCAAAATAAAGCAATTGGGTGTCCAAACTTCTTGATTTCATAGAAAAATTGGCCAATAATCGCTTTTACAAAACGAAACGTAATAATTATTTTATATATATGTATATACACTTTATATGTAGTCGCCGCAGACTTTGAGAATGACTTTGATTCGATCTAAAAGAGGGTCGTTATATCAATTTTATTGTACAAGTATGCAAGAGCAAATCAAAACGATTGGGTGTCCAAACTTCTTTTTTTGCGATAGAAAAATTGGCCAATAATCATTTTAACATTGCTGTTGATTACAAAAGTGTTCTCTTACTACACGCTAATACATATACAGATCCGCACGCTTTGACAATGTGTTTGATTCGGAGTAAAACTTCGTTATGTCAATTTCAATGTACAAGTTTGCAAGATTAATGTGTAAATAATTGGGTGTCCAAACTTCTTTTATACAATAGAAAAATTGGCCAATAATTACTTCGACAAGCTATAACTATAACAATCAACAAACTGCTGCTAGAAGAGAGTGTGGAAAGTTTCAGGTTGAAATTAATATACTCTATTAATTTTATTAATTCACTTTCCAAGAACAAAATGTAAATTTAATTAAATTTGCGATAACGCCATATGCGTGCTCGTGTTTCAATTTAATTTGCAACAATTTTTAAATCAGCCAATTTTTACCGTTTTATACTTAAATATCATATAATATGCAACTTTGAGAAATGTTTTGACTACATATACGTCAAAAACATGGTTTAAGCGTGCAAGAGCAATAAAAAAGTAATTTAGGTGTCCAAACTTCCAAAAAAAATGTAGAAAAATTGGCCAATAATTACTCTTACACGCAACAAAACTCAATAAAGTGTTATATAATGGAAAGTTTCAGGTTGAAATTAATATACTCTATTAATTTTATTAATTAACTTTCCAAGAGAAAAATGTAAATTTAATTAAATTCGCGATAACGCCACACGCGTGCTCGTGTTTCAATTTAATTTGCAACAATTTTTTTAAATCAGCCAATTTTTACCGTTATTACGCAAATATCATATACAAGATATGCTTGTAATACGCACCTTTGAGAAATGTTTTGACTACATATACGTCAAAAACATGGTTTAAGCGTGCAAGAGCAATAAAAAAGTAATTTGGGTGTCCAAACTTCTAAAAAAAAATATATAGAAAAATTGGCCAATATTACTCTTACAGGCATTAAAACTCAATAAAGTGTTATATAATGGAAAGTGTCAGGTTGAAATTGAAATACTCTATTAATTTTACTAATTAAGTGCAACAAATGCAAAAACTAGCAAAATTTTTAGTTATAAATGTAAATATCGTCTAGATTCTAATTAGAGTATATTTTGTTTTATTGATTTTGTATGCAATTATTTAATTATTTTCCATTTTTTCTTCCAGACTAATGGACTTTTTCCCACCAAACAAACGTACTGAAGAATATTTAAAACAAGTTTTTCTTGAAAAAGAACTAACTGAAATTATAAAATTACACAAAGCTCAGGCCAGTCAAGAGGCCAAGCGTGAACTGCAGCAAACGCTAATCGATGATATACATGACGAGAAGGCACATTCAGAAATCACAGCCGATATTAAAGAATTCGCACTGCGTAATAACATTCCTGATCACGAGATTATAATCATTGTAAGTACAAAAAAAAACAAGAAAAAACGTCAACATCGGTTATTTTTTTTTTTTTTTTGGAATTTTTAAGTTGTATATGCTATTATGAAATGTTTGCATTGTATATTGCAGATTTGGTCGACTATAATGTCGCTCGGTGAATGGAACAAGAAGGAAGAGTTGGTCACCGATCAAGCAGTGCGCCACCTGAAAGCCTATTGTCCATTGTTGCAGGCTTTTGCCTCGACCGATCGCTCTGAGTTGGCTTTGATATTGAAGGTACAGGAATTCTGTTATGAAAACATGAACTTCATGAAAGCCTTCCAAAAGATCATATTACTATTCTACAAAAGTAAGTGGCAATTTTTTGTTTTAATTTATATGAAATTTATATTGATAAAAATATCGATTTTTTTTCCTTTCTTATAGCTGAAGTATTATCAGAGGAGAGCATACTCCGATGGTACAAAGATGCTCACTCCAGCAAAGGAAAGATGCATTTCCTCGAACAAATGCGCAAGTTTGTCGAATGGCTGCAATCCGCAGAAGAAGGTTAGTAAACATTAGAAAAATAAAAAAATTGTCAATATAAAAATTGCATTGCCGAAAATGAGTGTACTGAGTGCAATCAAACATTCATCTATTTAAAAAATGCTATAGCAAGTATTGAAAGTTTTTGCTTGCCTTGAAATCTGCGTTTGCCTGGCAAAATATAGATTCATTAGGCCAATGAAGACTTTTACAAAATTAGTTTTGACAAATTTTACAAACTTATTATTTGTCAATAATATATCAATATATTATCTTATATATTTCAACAGAATCTGAATCCGAAGATGAACAAAAGGCACAAAGTAATGGTGAATAACATAATGATGATGGCATTTTAGATTGGTTAGGGGCATAGAATACAAAAACAAAATCTCATATTGTTGCATGGTTTATTCTTATAATAATACTAGTTAAGTCGAAGATGGAAAAGTAAAGAAGCAATGCAAAGCCGCAACCACATCCACCAAGTCTCCTGCTATTAAAACAACTACGTACGTTAGCGACAATGATATCAGTACTGGGCAGATAACAAAATGAATTCATTATATATATTCTACACATTTAACATCAAATATATATATATATATATACATACCTACATAACATAACATAATATAAAATCGATCATATTTCTCACACCATAGTAAAAATGTTTACACAATTATGTTTGGAACATACAAAAAATGAAAATAAGCAATTAAAATATACCATATTATACATTCAAGAAAAAAACACAAAACCATTTCTATATAAAAGTTATATAAACAGAATATTCTTAGTGTATACCGCTAACCATATTGAGATAGCAACCTACTGCAATATTTACTTGAGCCTTTCTATGTAATGTTGAGATCCAAACTCCAATAATAATATTTGAAACTCTGACCCTGAAATAGAAATGTAACATGAGCAATTGAATGAAAACACCAGTCAACAAATAAAATATGCAATTCTAAATGCCCGTTGTGGCAATTCCGAGGTTTAGCAATCAAAGAAACTAAAAAGTACGCCATAAAGAATGTTAAAGGAGATGTTTTAAATTGTGTTTTTTGAAAAGCAAGTGTTTTGGACGCACATCAAATGCGTGCATATTTGCAGTCGTATGTATTTGTTTGTGCGTGCGTACTTTTTTTTTACTTTTATGTATAGTTGAACTTAATTGCCAAATGTGTAGGAAAAATAGTGTAAAACAACAGGCCCCATGAAAGTTAACAAATTAGGTTTTATTTTTTATTATTTACGCATATATTATTTTTATATTTTTTTTATAATTTTTTATATTTTTTTTTTATAATTTTTTATATTTATTTTTTATAATTTTTTATATTTATTTTTTATAATTTTTTATATTTTCATTTTTTTTGTTTATTATTATTTTAGTTTTATTATAATATTTATTATAATTTTTTTTTTCGTATGTGTACGTGCATGCAACAGGGCTCGACCAGCCAAAACACCTAGCCGAGATATTAAAATAACAAAGGCCATCAAGTTGCCAAATTTAGGGCAAGAATCATGAAAGCAAAAAATAAATAGAAAGAAAAGTTGTAAAATATACGTATATATATAATGTAATGCTATACACATACATACATAAGTGAAAATCGAACAAAAGAAGAAAAAACTGAATGTTTAGCAACAGGTGAAATTAAATATTAATTAATATATCATTAAAACCGGAGAATAATGTGTTTTATCCTAAAATAAAAAATATACATATTACAAATAAATAATAAAACGGTGTGAAAGGCGAAAATGCATATGGCTTGTGTTACTTTCTGCTAATTGTAGATTGATTTAATTTTAGTGTATGCTATATGGGAATACCTACCTACCTATTAATAGGCTGTCGCACATTGTTTCATACATATCAATTCAGCAGTTATGTAGTGTACTGCCGGAACCGTATACTAAAATTTGCAACAAGCATCGAACTAGCTGCTGGTCATAGGCAACTAGCCTGTCGTCATTAATAGTAAATAATTAATTTTGAAGATATTTAAAATTTCGGAACTATTAATCAGTTTGAACACTGTTTTCATGACAGCCGGATTTAAGTAACCGAAACGTACGCGGAATTTTATCCTGAAAAACGACGAGCAGTACCGCGCCATTGACATTATCAAGGATGAATAATGACAATCCAATGAAAAATGTTTTTAATATCGGTGGTAAAAGACGTAGAGGTAGATAGTATCCTAAGCTAATTACATTCTACTATTATTCAGATTGACCAATATTTTCGACGATTTTTATGTGAGCGTGTCCGGACTTAAAGAACCCAGAATTCACCGCGACATACCAAATATATGTCCTACATGCAAGGAATCATCGCAAGACTAACCATTTCTCTGCATGTCCAATAAATCCTACTATGGCCAGACCCCGTCGAAACAGCACGTTTCCTGAGCCGTTAGTCGACTTTGATGACTACCACCTAGAACCTTACCATCCAAGCGGGGATTACATTACCGCTGCAGTAAAATAATCTAATAGAATTTAAAGTTGTATAGGTATATAAAGGGACTGTTTAGGCCAAATTGGTTGGAAATTGTTCGAGTAGTTCATTACCATTGTCAAATTTTAATAATGACCAATATGCATACCTAATGTGTCATCTTTACGGGGAAATTTAAATCTTTTAACGTTTTTCTAAAACAGTTAACAGTACCAAGTTTTCTTAATAAATCTCAATTTTTACACCAAATTATCGTTTTCTGGCACCGTCGGACGGATAACATTAGTCCGGAAATCATAATCTACTTGTTGCGAGAATGTTAAACGTTGCCACCAAAAATAAATATGCATATATATTTTATACACATTTTTAAGCTTAAAACACATGTGCAACATATACACCCTGTACTGATATGCCAGCAGCTGATAACCATCTGATAAATGGAGGTGTTACAACAGCCGCAAGAGGCTGCAAACCGAACCGAAATCCAACAGTTTTTTTGAATACACAATCTTCCATTACCGTGGTAAGGAATGCTATAACTAAAATAGCATCTCAAATAAATCATCTGAAACTTTTCGAAACGCAAGTAAATTATGGAAGTGAACGGGAGTAGTGCTGCGCCACAAAATCACACACAATACTCTTTTCTTCCCTCACTTGTGGTAAAGCAAAATCATTTTGAATATACAACTTAACAATAAATTTGTTTTGTTTTTCCCCCTTGAAGGCAGGTGGAGTTGCCGGTGTTGTTGTGGACATTGCACTCTTCCCCATCGATACAATAAAAACACGTTTGCAGAGCGAATTGGGTTTCATACGTGCCGGTGGTTTTCGTGGTATTTATAAAGGATTAGCACCCGCTGCTGCTGGTAGCGCACCAACTGCAGCACTATTCTTTTGCAGTTATGACAGCTTCAAGCGATATTTAGGCCAAACTACTGGTGCATTTAATTCTCCATATATACATATGGTGTCCGCTTCGTGTGCAGAAATTGTAAGTTGAAGATTGTGAATGGTTATGGAAATTATAAATTCGCATATGTACATACGAATTATTTACATTTCAGCTAGCATGTCTTATTCGTGTACCCGTAGAAATCGCCAAACAACGACGACAAACGATTGGCAATACACAAAGAACAACTGCTCTGCAAATACTATGGCGCGCCTACAAAGTGGAGGGCTTACGTCGTGGTCTGTATCGCGGCTATGGCACAACAGTGATGCGTGAAATACCATTTAGTTTAATACAATTTCCGCTTTGGGAATACTTTAAACTACATTGGACCGACGTCACTGGTATAGAATCAACGCCTTTCACTGTCGCCTTGTGTGGTGCTGTTGCAGGAGGCATTGCAGCTGGCTTAACTACACCACTTGATGTAGCCAAAACGCGTATCATGCTTGCGGAGCAAAGTACTGCAACGAAAAAGTTAAATGCCCGTACTGTGCTGACAACGGTTTATAGAGAAAGAGGTTTTTCGGGGTAAGCATAAACAAACGAATATATGTATTCATAAATTTAAATTGATATATTATATTTATATATTTTTCACTGATATCACTTACATATAATCAAACCAAAATCAAGTTCTTGTATGGAATCTTTTGTATTTGTGAAGGGCTATAGCTTCTGTCCGTAGCTAATCATTTTTTTTGTTTTTTTTTTATTATAAAAGTTATTTTTCTCATTTACGCGTTAACTTGCTTTTGCAGAATCTTTGCAGGTTTTACCCCACGTGTACTCTGGATCACATTAGGCGGTGCATTCTTTTTTGGGTTCTACGATCTCACTTTAAGGATATTAGGTGGTAATGCTGCATCGGATAAAGTAAATGTGTAGCATTTAAATTCAGCTAAAATATATACTCGAAAAATATATACATACATATTATATTATATAAAGTCAAAGACAACATTTGATTATTCCTAAGACAATACATGTATATTATTAAATATTTATTTTTAGTAACTTTGTAGTTTGCTGGTGAATTATTAAGACAAGATAATACATCGACTATTTTCAACATTCATGCTTTGATAATGTCGTTTGAATTAGCGTATTTAGAAGTGAAAAAATGCAATTTCACAGCTTTGTATGAATATGTATATGCGCCATTGTGTTAATGAGCGATAAAAGAACGTTGCGTGCATTAAAGAAGTTAGAAACATGAACGCTTTAGGTCGTCAAACTCTCTGGCATATACTTAAGTGCAAATTCCATTTCGTAGTGTGCTGTCGTAACGGTGAGAATGGAAGATATTTTTGTGTAGATTCATTCATACTAGTTTTCTTTAAATACTTCAGCCGATTTTTCTTTTTTATATATCACACACATTATCGATTTGCAGTTTTCCTCTCAGCAAGCATTCACTTGGATCGTCGAAGTCATAACTGTACCCACGTTCCAGTTGCGAATTGGAATCATCTTCGAATTTGTACCTATATTCGCTCCTTCGACGACAGTAAGACTGTGCGAGGCGCCGTCGATTCCGTCCAATTAAGAATACCTGAGCATAATAGCAAAAGTATACATAAGTAAAAATCGATGTACAATATACAATATATTTAGTGTAGACACATGCATAGCCATAATTAATTTTCTTACCAGTGCTGATAATGCTACTATTAACAAAAGAACTGCAAAAGGTATTAAAATGAAATGTTTACTATTATCTTGTTCAATATCCGTATCCGTTGGAGTTGCATCTATAATTTTGCTTGTTCTTATTGTTGTTATTGCTACTGCTAATGCAGGTGTTGGTTGTTGCAAAGTGAAATGTTTATTTTCTTGCTCTGCGTACTTAGTTGTCGCATATGATGTGGCGGATTGAATCATTTCAAATGTTTTTACGTTTGCAAGAGTTAATTATGTTAAATTATGAAAAGAATTTGTATATTGAATGCATCAGCAATCGAAATACACTTGCTATTTATTTATTTACATAAACTGAATGACAACTGCTGCACCAATCAACGCATGGTTGCTTTCGAAAGAAAAACATTTGTGATATGGCAACGCCCACAGTATAGCAACGCCAAATTAAGCACGCCAATGATTGGAAATCTGTCATTATCTATGACTGAACGAGTGCTTAAATTATTTCTGTAGTGTTTTCTTGAAAGAAAATAATAATATTTAATTTATATACGAGAAACAGCACGTATAAATAGAAAATATAGGTCGTATATTGCTATCAGAGGATATGCAATCCGACGAAGTGGCAATTTCTTCGTCCATAACGTCGTTGGACTATGTGGATTTATCAGACTACTGTCGTCTATGTCTACAAGTTCCGGAGGAGTCTCAATTACTGGACTTACAATTAATTTATGATGAAGAGGAACAGCTCAGCTATTATGATTGCTTTATCATATGTACGCAAATTGATTTGCACTCTGGTGGCATTAATGCACCACATCAGCTATGTAAATCTTGTGGCTTAGAATTGCAGGTGGCATATGATTTTCACAAAAAAGTGCAAGAGTCCAAAAAGTTTTTAAAGCAATTTCAAAAATCACACATTACTGATGCAGAAACATTGGATACATCATTAACAAAAGATGAGGCACCGCAACATATTGTTATTGAAGAAGTGGTTCACAAAACAAGTGATGACACACAACTACCAGTCCCAATACAATTAGAAAATGAGTCAATTGAAAATGAAATTGTCACTACGGAAGAGGAAAATGTGGAGCATTTGGATGGGCATATAGAATACGAAGTGCTGGAAGAGCACATAGAAATGGAAGAATATCAAACGGTTGATGAGCTAATGAATGATGGTATGTTGTTGTCGTTATGTATTCAAGCATATTTATATATTATACCCTGAACAAGTTATATTAGGTCTGTCACGACGTTTTTAACATTCAGAATAAAACGTCGGAGACTCGACAAAATATACATATGTATGAATGATCAACATGACGAGCTGAGTCGATTTAGCTATGTCCGTCTGTCTGTATATACGCGAACGAGGCACTCAGATTTTTAGATATCGATCAGAAATTTTACACGTCTTTTTAACTTCACGGGGCTGCACATTTGTTGAAACCGCTATAGCAAAAATCTGCTAGGCAAACAGACCGATCAAAAAAAAGTTTTTGTATGAAAAACTTTTTTATTTGACAAGATATCTTCACGAAAATATCCGAAAAATTGTTCAGATCAGAATTCTATTGAGTTGACAGTCCTTGGCTAGATAAAAATCCCGGTCCGCTCCGGTTTAGTGGGAGCGAGCATGGATTACTGTCCAAGGCAATGGTACAATCCCCAAAGAAAGTGTTGAGATCGGACTAGTATAGTATATAGCTGCCATATAACTGATCAAATCAAGTTCTTGTATGGAATATTTTGTATTTTTAAAGGGCAATGTAGCTTCGGTGCAACCCAAGTTGAGGTTTTTTCATTTCTTTTTTTTTTGTAGGTAGTAAATTAAGTGGTTTATTTTAACATTTCTGCACACTTAAATTAATGTTACTGAAAGATGTATTTATGTATTAGAAATTACATTATTTGAATTATTTGTATAAAGTGACGTTTTAGAATTTTTATATTTAAATATATGTTGTATGTATTATCTATGTGCTTATCTGCAAAAAAAACTTTAAAATTTTAATTCGAAAGTATTTGTAATGTTTCCTCAATTGTTTATTGAATGAATTTCAAAATAGATCAATTAAAATTTTAAAGTTAAATCAATTTTTTTATTTTAATAGAAATTATCAATTAATTTGTATAATTCATTTGACAAACAGATGCGGAAACAGTACAAATAAATATCAATGACGAAGAGTATATGATACAAAAGGTGAATTTAAGTACTGAAAGTAGTACTGAAACGTTAGTCAAGCCACTGCTTAAAAACCAAGATGTATCCATAATAAGCCACAAAAAACCACAAACTAAAAGAAAAGGCAATCTTAAAAATAATGCCGATAATAATTTAAAATTTCAATATAGTAGTGCTGAAAGCGCTGACGACTTAACAAATTGTGAAACAAATATTACACAAAGCACTGAGAAGTATTTCCAAAACGATAAAAGAACTGTAACAGCAACCAAAACAGGTGTGAACGATGTAGTGATTTCGAAAAAAGGCGACATTCAACCACGACGTCGTTTCAGCGGTAAATTTACCTGTGACTATTGTCAAAAAGTTTTTAAAAACCGTTCTCGTATGTTAACACATCGTCGTTCACATGAACTGGATCGTCCGAAATACGCGTGCGAAGAGTGTGGTCGTTTATATGCCACAAAACAGGCTAAGGACGTACATGTGCGCTCTTTCCACAACAGAACCGGACTTAAATGTCCAATTTGTGATAAAGTTTTCGTTATAAACAAGTTACTTGAAGTGCATATGCGTTACCATACCGGTGATTTTCCGTATGTTTGTGATATATGTGGACAGAAGTTTGCACAAATGTGTCATTTGAACACCCATAAGAATGTGAAACACATGAGTGTGCGTTTCTCCTGTGAACATCCTGGCTGTGGTAAATATTTCACCTCTTCTGCTTCGCTACGTAATCACGAGTATTCGCATTCATCAATGCCATTCGAATGCGTACATTGCAAGCGTGGCTATCCGGCAAAGGCAAAGTAAGTTTAAAAAAATTAAAAAAAAAAAGTTTTTACCAACTTTGTTTTCTTTTATTTGATTATAGATTAAAAGTACACATACGGCAAAAACATGGTATCGAGGTGACTCTTGAACAAATGGAGGAAATGCGTAAATTTTATGTGATGCGTTCGAAATTGAATTTAGTTAAGATTTCATAATTAGTTGTAATAAATGAAAAGTAAAATAAATATTTTTAAGACTTATTAACTAAATTTGTAAACTTAATATTAAATAACTTTTTAGAAATATTTCAACTTCAAAGATGTTCAAAATTTGTTGGTGAAACAAAAAATATTCGAATAAAATTATTCAATTGAAATAAGTTAATTTGGTAGACTATACAAATTATTTATCTTGGAGAATTGAGTTTATTTTCAAAATAAATTTTTAAGTCGTTGTTTCGTAGCCAAAACGTGCATTTTATTATATGGTACATATACATATATGTACATATATACATAAACCGCTACTAAACAATGAAATATGGTTTGATTACAATTATTATAATTGTGATGGGATTAAATTGAAGGATTGCTAGTGTAAGCATTTAATATAGATTTTTCTTGTCAGATATGTTTGTAATAAATGTGTATATATTGCTTTACAACCGATTTAAAAAAATGATTATTTGAATCATAAAAATATATTTTTTTTTTACCATAAAAATCATGAAATGTAGAATATTTTTTTTTGTAATTATAAAATATTTTTTTTTTTAAATTATAAAATATTTTTTTTTTAAATTATAAAGTATTTTTTTTTAAATTATAAAATATTTTTTTTAATCATAAAATATTTTTTCTTTAATCATAAAATTGTTTTTTACCACAAAATTTAATCATAAAAATATATATTGTAAACAGCCATTTTCCATCGTAACTATTTTCAAAAATTTTATTTAACTGAAATTTTTTATAAAGCTTTTCAGACTACCATTTAATACTTATTTGGTTGCAATTGTTTAATTCCAATAAGTTTATTAAAACAATCTACTAACATGTTAATGTGCACTTTATAAAACAATTTCTAGACAATGAAAAGGATCAACGCACTGCTGTAATAAAGCTTGAAGAGGATTCCATACAATTTCCGACAGATATGTCCACCGATGAATCAGTATCGGGACATTACTTAACAGCAGCAAAAACAGACATTCCACCCGTCCTCATGACCTTGGCACCACCATCTGATGCCGATGATATTAATTTAGAAGAATATCTCTTTGAAAATCCCGGATCCTCCAAAGACGTAAAGTGTGAACCGATCCGCCAAGATAAGAAGACCTCAACAAAATCCAAGAGTGCATCCGGCAGACGAGGCCGAGCGCCCCTCATACCTGGTGGTCCACCGTTTCAATGCGAATATTGTGATCATAAAAGTCCCTCACGTTCACTTTTAGCATCACATCGACATCGCAAGCATCGTTTTAATAAACCACCCAATAAATGTGCGGAGTGTGGCAAAGAGTTTGCAACCAAACAACAATTGGAGCGTCATCAACAGCGTGTTAGTTGTCAGTCTTATCCCCTCTTCAAGTGTGAATTTTGCGAAAAGACATGTATCGGTCGTGCAAACTATCATATACATTTACGTTTTCATAAAAAAGTCTACCCATTTGTGTGTCATATCTGCGCCAAACCATTTATGATGGCGCAACATCTTAACAATCATGTGAAAACGAAACATGAGGGCCAACGTTTCATCTGTGAAGAAGAAAATTGTGGTAAAATGTTTCAAACGGCGCATGCGCTTAAAAACCATGCTTACACGCATGTCGATCAGTTGCCCTATCGCTGTGACTACTGTCAGCAAGATTTTCCTACCAAGGGCAGGTGAGTGGCGTTATAATATGTTGGACATTAGACAATTGATATTATGATTTTGTTTAAGGCTTCGCTGGCACATAAGCAGAATACACGGCATAGAGCATACGTTGGACGAGCTGGATTGCATGCTGGTGGCCAAAGAGATTAAATTGAAGGCAAAATTGCAGCCAGCATTGACGCCTGAGCCTGTGCCCAACGAACTGGGTGAAGTGCTTGATGAGGCCGACCTGGAAGACTACTGAAGGCTGAAATTCAGTTTTCCACTTTTTAGTTTCTGGTGATAAAAATAATTAATAAACGAGAATAAGCTAAAATTTATATTGTTTTTAAAATATTGAAAATAGTGCACGAGACGCACGCAAAAAAACAAAGTTGCGAAATAAACTTAAAAGCTGAAATGTAACTTAATATTTAATTTTTACCAATTAATATTAGTTTTGTTTTATATAATGGAGATTGCACTATTATTTTATATAAAATCTGGCTATTGAAAAGTATGTATGCATACGTAGTAATGTCTATATATGTACATATACATATATAGCATATTATAATGAAACAGTGATACATTATTTACCTTTTGCAATTAGAATTTATCCAAAAATAGACAAATTTATTTTCTAAGTATCAATTGTATTTCAATATTTTACTTGTGTTTAATATTTATTGTTTCCCAATTTATAAAAATACAAATATATTAATAATAATAACAATATCAAAAAAAAATGTCAAATATATTACTTTTTGTTAACTACTTCGATAGAATTCTTCTATTCTAACTACTCTCTAACTTCGATGGGACTGTAGTTGTATTTACCAACTCCTGCTTTTTGTTCTGTTGTTGGAAATAGATGCTGATCGAGTTTAGATAGATAAGGAGAGTTTAGTTATGTTTTAGCGTCATAATACTAACATTGGAATCTCTTTATGCAATTAATATTTTCATATCACATTACCGGGGAAGTTCTAATAGTAGCACCCTTAGCACCAAGATTGCGTTTTATTTAGGTATTACTAATGTTCGAATTTGAACTAATTATACTTACCGATCTAAAAATCAATGCAAGCTGCTCAGCGCGTAGTTTCTGTTGAGATGTTTCCATTGAAATCACCCCTGTTTGTGCAGGATAGGAGTATAGTATGCTAACAGCTTATCTACAATGTATGTGTATTGCTCTATACATAAGAACAACAAAGTATCAAAGATGTAGATATAACAACTTTAACAAAATAAAGCAAACAAAAGAAGAGAAAACGTTAACTTTAGTTGCACCGATGCTATAAAATCCTTCACAAATGCAAAAGATTCCATACAAGAACTTGAATTTGATCGTTCAGTTAATATCGCAGCCATATGCTATATAGTATAGTGGTCCCATCTCAACAATTTCTTCGGAGATTGTAACGTTGCCTTGGACCATAATCCATGTCAAATTTCGTAAAGATTACTTGTAAAATAAAGTTTTTCATATAAGAACTAGATTTTGATCGATAAGTTTGTGTGGGGGCTATATGCTATAGTTGTCCGATCTGGACCATTTCTTCGGAGATTGTACCGTTGCCTTAATTCCATGAATATAACTTGTCAAATAAAAAAGTTCTATACAAGGACATGATTTTGATCGTTCAGTTTGTAGGGCAGCTATCTGCTATAGCGGTCCGATACCGGCAGTTCCGACAAATTAGCAGCTTTTTGGGTAGAAAACGTGTAAAATTTCAGAAATGATATCTGAAAAACTTAGTGACTAGTTCACGTACATATATACCGACGGACAAACGGACATAGCTACATTGTCTCAGCTCGTTATTTTATATTTTATATGCTGCTTGTGTCAGCCTCCGATAAATAGACTGTGATTTGCGCTCTCGAGGTATCTATAAAGAGTCTAGTTCCATTTAGGATATATAGAAACTCAAGCAAATATTTTAATATATTATAATTTTATTGAAACAGTGTAATTATGTAACTTCTACGTGCTATATTAACTTCTTAAATTATTTACTGTTAATATTGACTAAACAAAATACATTTTTTTTTTGTATTTAAATATTTTAGCTCAAATGGAATATGTTTACCCTGAGGAAGTCATAACAACTTCCAACACATTCGTTGACACAACCAACTGCTTTACCGAACTGACAACGAAAATAAATATGTCCGAAGCCTCAATTTCACTAAAAGAATACACTAGTAAGATTACAATTAATGACCCGCTCAACACATCGCAATCACCCGAAGAAACATCGAAACTGCCAATGGAAATAATACTGCCACAACGAAGCAGTCGCGTCTGCTGCGATTATTGCCAAAAGTCATTCCCGAGTAGCAGTAAAATGTTATGGCATCGACGCATGCACGAACCGGATCGGCCACGTTTCAATTGTCCCTTTGAGAGTTGCGATCGCATCTATTTATCACGTCAAGCCTGCGAGCTGCACTACAAGCAGACGCATTGCTCACCCGATGACTACCAGCCATTGGAATGTACGCTGTGTCAGAAAACATTTGCCATACCACAAACGCTGCAGATACATATGCGCTATCACACACGCGATTTTCCCTACGAATGCGCACATTGCGAACGACGATTTGCACAAAAGGGTCATCTAACGTCGCATCTGCAAGTTATGCATAATAATTTGAGGTATATTTGTCCGATAGAGGGATGTCGCAAAGTCTTCAAAAACACTATATCATTACGGAATCATAGTTTCTCGCATACGAGTATGCCATTCCGGTGCGCCTATTGCGATCGTGGTTATCCGCAAAAGTCAAAGTAAATATTGCTGAATCAAAATATTTATTGATTTTGAAATTTTTTCCAATTGCTTACTTTCATTTGCAGGCTTAAAGTTCACCTGAAACTGAAACATGAGGTTGTCATGTCCATTGAGGAACTGGAATCAATGCGCAAGTTCAAAAGTTTTCGCACACGCCACTCATTTGTTAAATTAGAAGCGTCACAAAGCGTTGGCGAAAACTCCGAAGCAACGGAGGGTAGCTTAGACAGCTGCTGTGTGAATGAATATTTTGTGGATGTTGTAAATGAAGATGCATGTTAAAACGTGTTGATAACATAGAACTAAGCACTGCTGATGGAAATATACCAGGAAATACGATATTATTATGCATTTATAAATACTATTTAGGTCTATAAAGCGGGTATGTTTCAACATCCACAATGACTTCAAAAACAACTATTCAGCGAGGCTTTGGAATCGAAAACCAGTTATATATTCTATGTTTCAGTCGAGTTCAAACTCAACGATCGCCATAAATTTGTTGTAGATTCTCAAAAGCATCAATGAGAAGCGCATATTAAAATAAGTAAAAATGTTTCAAGTATTATTTTGAAGTGATTTAAGTAAGAGAGTTATATATAGTTTAATATATATTATACGAACATGTAGACATAAATTTACAAACTGATAAAATATGAATGAGTCGGTCTATAACTTTGTGTTAATAAAATTAAGTGGGTATTTTTAACCTAAAATAATAAGGTTTGGTGCTAATAAGGGATAAATTTAGTTCAGCACTTCCTCTAGTCGCCATATACCAAAATAAATGACCATGCTCACTGTACTTATCAAAATACATAGCCGCAAAGAAATCCTCAAATCGCTCGCCGGCAGCTCATGGTTAAAAGACAAGGAAACGTTGTTGGCAACATACAACCTCCTCTTTGCATGTCCAATGAATCTCACTCATTTTATACCTCTTTCACTATGGTCCTCACTAGCAAGCTCATCGGCTTTGTAGTTTATGGCGATACCGTTGTGACCTGGCCCCCATACAAGTCTAATATGGAGCTAGAAGCTATTGCTAATTAGGTCATGCACTCTTTGGCTAATTTGGAGCGCACAATCAACGAGCTCAAAGCTAGTATAGCCGCTCGGTTATCGGAGTAAATAGACATCACTCGGAAGGAAGCGGAACTTCGAAACAATACATATACTGCTACTTTGTTGTCAACCACCTCCGCTTTAAAGACAGTTCAGTGATCTGGTAATCTGTCTATCTATCCTTCTAATCTCATTGTATCTTATAACTTTGATTCATCCGTGAAAAAGTTGACTGCAGCCCTAGATTGTAAGGAATGTAATTTCAGTGTGTCCCTGCCCCAAGCCCCTCATATACCCAGCTTTCTTAAGGCTAATAGCAGCCTTCGCCGCTAAGCACCTATCTAAGTCGACAGGTGCAACTTGTAGACGATTGCCGCTCTTAGAACGGTTCTACGGTTTCATAGAGCCAATTGCTCTCACATGGCTTCCATGAGAGTTTCCTATCGAGGAACCCTAAGTACTTCACTCTATCCACCGTTTGAAGAATTGAGCCTCCAAACGACAGGAGAGTAACATCAGGGATTTTGTATTTCCTAGTAAATAAAATTAGCTCAGTTTTATTTGGATTTATGGCTAATCTATTTCTCTCTGCCCACTTGGTTACCACATTTTTGTTTGTGAAATGGGGGTCCTCTTCTAAAAATAATCACGCTTTTTATAATTTTCTTCATAACTCTCCGAAACTTCTTCTATTACAGCTGTAAAATAACAACATTATTTAGAGAATTATACGGATACGACACTATACTGGATCTTGTTACAGAACGGGGGCCAGATTAAATGGAAAGAGAGATATTTAACGGAGTAAAAACAGCCTATTATTTCCCAATTTAAAAGAATGACCCAATCGCACAGTTATCGATAGTAGTGTGACAATCTTCACACAGAAGATAACTTCAACAACACTTGGGTATTAAGTCGTATAGGTCTTAAAGGATTTCGTTTTAATAATATAAAAAAAAACAATACACGGCATCAAAAAAAAAGGCATATGGAGTGTGAATGATGGACGACGAACGGTTTGTACGTTTAGGAAAAATGAAATTGAAGGCCCCTACAATGTCTTCAAAGAACACTTAACATTGATATTTTTTCAGCAGAAGTTTGGTCAAGTTTAATCGTTAAAAGGCAGATTACGTACTGCCGTGTGCTGGCTATCTTCCACAGCTTCCAATGTACGGATCTACAAGAAATTGGGACGGTGGAAAAAACGTAATAATTTTGTGTTTTATTAAATCCAGGAACCCAGTTGGGAGCACAATCTGCTTAACTATGGCTTTATTGTAGTCAGACGTGCTTTCGATCTCCCCTTGCAATGAACTATTGCTTCTTTACCACACCTACTTTTGAGTGGTTTATGAGAACCAGAAAAAATTAATTAATTTTTTTTTTTTTAATGAAACTCCCATTTTATTTAAGTACAGTATTATCACATTTAATAGAACATACATTTTTTTTTTTGCACATAATTTTGATAACAAAAAACATCCACACACTGTAACACACATATGATATTATGTAGAATAAGTGTACCCTGCACTGAAAAGTACTAGTTGTAAACTATATATCTTAGGTGTAGTATAAACCCGAAGGCCATATACAAGTATGTACTTAGTTAGTCAACTGTCTTTTCGTAATACAAGCAGTTGATGCGGTTTAAATTGCGATTTTCTAAGAGATGTTAATTGTTATTAGTTCAAAAAATACTATGTTGTATTGTACATAAACAAATTCATCACAAAAAATTAATTTTGAGTAATATATTTTTATGCTAGTAAGTTATTAAAACATTCAAGTTAAATAACGCAACTTTTTAATAAAACGTCTTGAAATTAATACCAGTCTGGGTATTTTTAAACTAGTTGAATTTCAGCGCATATATACTAGTTTTGAACCAGTAGTTTTGTAACTAGTTCTATATTTTTTTCTGCAGGGTGCATTTTAAATCATTGTGTGTGTACTTTATCAGTTATATTTAACAATTTATATGCAATTTTCAAAACACATTTCAATATTTGTATGTAGAATAAAATTTGGCATAATTTTTGCTATGTAAGTAAATTGTTTATACCTATACAATATATAAGTAAATATATAATATATTTACTTGTAATAAAATTATGCATACACACATAGCTTAATACATACATGTGAACATATGTATGTATGTATACGGGTATGTGTGTATGTAAATGCAGCTTAAATGCTAGACAATTTCTTTGGTAAATAAACTGCTACTGCACTTGTAGTTGTACTCGATAACTTGAGGTAGCAGTTACTTCATGTAGCTAGTATGTACATATGTAGATATTTTATTACTTACAGCTATTTATGCTTGTATGTATAAACTGTGTGTTTTTAATATAAATGCCCGATCAACCACTTGGTGGCAACGAAACACCTACATATGCATTTATTTATATAAAGGGTGATTCATTTGGTGAGATTTTTACGCACACATTATTTGAACAGTAACGGTTCTTATATAAAAGTATAATAGCTCCGCGAATATTGATGCTTATATACACTTTTAACTAACTAAAGATATTAGATGGGAGTGTCTTCCGAATATGAATATAAGGGAACTGATATTTTACTACCTTAAAATATTACTTGCCTAGTTTAAGTTAAGGGGGCGATCATACCAGGAAGCTCACTTGGACAGCTTAGACCGCCAATACGTTGTGATACCTAAATCTCTTATATAATAGATCATTTGAACCTTACAAATCGACAAAGCGCTTTGAGCATATCAGAAATTTGTTGAGATGACTAATGTCAGTTTCAGATATGTCTCCTGGTTCGCCGAAGGTGCCGAGACGCTTCAAACTCAGTCTTCGAAAAATTGGACAATGGATCAGAAAGTGTCGGAATGTTTTCAGCTCACCCTCCTTCATACAACTTTGACAACTTACGTCTGAGCTAACTTTACGGCATGAATGCCTATTGGACAGTGTCCAGTAAGAAACCTTACGATTGCTGCAAAATAAACTTTGCTAGGATAAGTAATTCAGTAGTTCTCCTGTATTCTACCCTAGAATTTTGCAGACACACAGAAGCGAGTCGTCGATCAGCGTCTGCTAAACGCATGTGAGGTCCATTGATCCAGTGCTAGAATGCTAGACGTCAATGAAGATCCAACTCGATGCCATTCCGATGTAAGTTGGGCAAAGGTGCCCCCTGTCGCTAGTACAACTCGCCTATGTACAGTTTGTACATACAGGAGGAGCAGCCCCCGGTAAATGTGAAATATAGGAAGGAATAAATATTATATAATTATCACGATCTAAACTCGATGTCACTGGCTCTGACAGTCGTATAGTATTTCATGTCTCATGAGAATAATTACTAAGTACATCATTCAAGACTCTTCCAAAACCATAGTCACGAAGAGTCTAAAGAGTAATACAGATGGAATACCAAACGCCTCAATACTTGGGTCACTGCTATGGAGTATAATATAAAACGCAGTATTAAACCTAGACTTTTCAGTAGTTGTAGAAATATATTTGGATTTGTTGTTTAAGATTGTAAGTAAAATTTTAGGTATTGCGGATATTTCCCTAACGATTAATCGGCATTATATAATGAGGGAAAAAAGAAAAAAAATTATTAACGTGGGTTCACTTTCTTCTCGATGGCAAGATTTAGAAGAAAAACCCACGCTTCCAGGGAGGAAGCAATGCTAAAGTCGGTTTGAGAAGGGTAATAAGGGAAAAAAGAAAAACTCAAAATAATAACGGGGGCCCACTTTCATGCGAGTTTGCTGCGGTCTTTCGATGGTTGGCATCATTGGTTCATTTTTCTTTGGAAATACTACAGGATACGTGATTATGGTAAGAGTTAAACGCTCTCCAATCAAGTTGGACCATTTTTAAAAAGTCTAAAATTGAAGACATACACTTGGATGATCTTTTGGTGCAGCACTTCCTATGAGACAATTAATCTTTTGGATAGACGAACTATTCAACAACGGTTCGGTTGAATAAGGACCAAGGCAACCTCGAGATAAAGCCAGAATCTGTCACTTAACGTAGGAATTTGCGGAATGTTAGTTTAACAGAAACAAATATATGAACCACCCTTTAATTAGTATTTATAAAAATAAATCTACTCTCAGTGATTCACTGTCAGCGGTATGGCTTTGCTCGACGATTCATCTGCAAGAAGGTTGAAATTTGTTAATACTATTGTGATTACCAAAATCAAACACTTGAACACACACACATCTGTGTACACATTCACTCACAACTCACTTGTTTATGTGTGTACTCACCCGGATTGGATGATGCTGTGGCGGTTGCAATTGTCGTTGCCAAACCGTTGGATGGATCAGCTCGACGTCGCGATGTTATTTTCTTCCAACCGCGTAAGAGTATTTGATTGCGATATTTCGGTGTGGTGAATGTGTACAGCAGCGGATTGACAGCGGAATTTAGCGGCAAAATGAAGACTACCAACCAAGCGTAGATATCGTCTGCTCATAAAGAAAAGCAAACACACACACGCATACAAGCATAAGCATTGCATACCGCGACCAACATTGCGTATGGATAATAAAATTTACGATTTCTTACTTACCCGAAATGTTATAGTTAAAGAAGACCCAAATCTTCATGGCAATAATAGGCGCCCAGCACAATACATCCGTGAGCACAATGAAAAAGAAACGCACCGCAAATTCACAATCCAACAGGGAGAGTGGTGTCGCTTTACGTGTACGCCAAATGGATATGAGCAACGCTGTATAGAGTAGCGCAATCATTAGTAGTAAAAACAAATTCACGCCCAAGAAGATGAATGCCGAATATTGCCAACCCAGTGGATATGGTTCTTGTATGTGTAGCGGGAAGCATGTGCCCGAGTAGGTGCCATAGAATTTGGTGCTTGAGTGCCAAAGTGCAACTGGCGCCACAGCAATGCCCACGCCCATCAACCAAATAGCTAGTAGGGCTATAAAAATATTCTTAATACCGATACGGTGTTGACTGCGAAACGGATCGGCAATGAGTAGAAAACGTTCGAATGACATGAAGGCGAGTATTAGCATGGACACCTCGGATGATGTGACGGCCAGCGAGCCGATAGCAGCGCACTGCCAGGAGGTGATCCAATCGAGTGCGACTCTGTACGTGAAAGAAGTAGAGAAGAAGGAAGAAAACACTTAAGTACAAGTGTGTAGCAGATGGAAAAATGGTAGCAAATTTAATTATAAATCCAAGTTAATTTAACAGCCATTAAACGTGAAAACACGCGCTTTGATAAGTGTTCAGACATTCCTGTTCTGCCGAACTGAACCGGTAGTTCAAAAGATGGGATTAAAAAATATTGCGTAAAAGTGCAAGACTAGAATGTATTAGTTGGAATTTTTTGTAGCAAAACCAGAAAACGATTATCATCACATTTTTTACCAATAGGACAGACTTAGCCTTCTTCAGAGCAGGTTCGTGAATGAAATCCACTGTTTTTACTGTTCTTCAGTTGCGCTTAAACAGCATCAAATGATACCGTGAAGTGGCCTAACCATCGTACTACTATCGCTGAAATTGGTTGCATCAATTTTGACGACCGTCATCGAAGCAAAAGAGTGTCCATTCACAGTATCCAAGCGATCTTTTATTTCACTGCAAATAAATCAATTGCAAATGCTATCTCTTAAGCTCCAAAGCAGAATCCCCCTTTTCGAGGCTTGGTTTGGTGTCAAAGTGCTTATGTTATCATCGACTCTGACGAGGCTTTGTAGATATAGCAAACTTAAACAATTTTTAGTTTGGGCTTTAAGGAAGCCTAAAAGAGGCAAAGCTCTAGTCAAAAGTATGTTTTCAATATCTAAAGCGGTACAGATAAGTTCGACCAGTTTGTCGACGGTTGTCTTCAGTTAACTACTTCTAGTCCCACTATATACAGCAAAGATCGTACCTGATCCACTTTTCAACCCTTTTTACTTAAGTTAATTTTCACTAATTTTTTCTGATATATCTACTTACTTGTAATATTCGCTCCGATAACGATAATCCTGTACGCCAATTGTTATTAAATAGAAACCCATTAATATATCAGCCAATGCCAAATTGCGTATGACCATTGTTACGGCAATATTCTCATCGCGATAAATGAAACGTCCCCAAAGTACCATTATATTTCCTACCACCGTTACAAAAGCCATTATCCAAGCCGAGTAGCGTAACACCGGTTTACTTAGCAGATCGCGAAATGACGAAACACCATCACTATTCGGCTTACACATACGAACTTGTGGTGTCATTGAGCAAAAATAGAAACGGTCAAACACAATATATTTAAGATTGGACATCTGATTGATGGCTTCAAAATCTATGCGTTCGAATGGGATTTCCGTTAAATTAAGATACGATATATTAAGAGATCCAATTAGCTGTTGGCTGATGTATAGCGGTGTATGACTAAGGGAACTGTGACGATAATAATTATTTTTAATGTTAGATAATTATTTTAATGCTCACTAAGTAATTGCAATATATCCTGTCATACTCACAGCGCTTCCAAGCAACTACTCCGTAAAAATACTTCACCAGAGAGCTCCTTCAATGGATTGCCAATCAGCCGACTACAATAAAATGACAAATAAATAAGTGTTAAATGTTGAATAATTAATTATTTATTTTTGACCCATACGCTCCGCGATATTCAGCGAATATCTCTCTTTCAGAGTGAAAATATTTCAAGACAATAAGGAAAAACTTTATGTTCGCTTTGCACTGAAGCTATAATACCCTGCACAAATACGAAAGGTTTCTTACAAGAATTTGATTCCATTCGTTCAGTTTGTATGGCAGCTATATGCTATAGTGAACTCATCTGAACAAATTCTTCGGAGATTGCATTATATTCTTAGAAAATAACTCACGTCAACTTTCATGAAGATATCTCGTCAAAGGAAGTTACAAACTTTGTGACAAACTTAATATACTATAATCACGATATAAAAACTCATAAAAATTAAATTTGAAAGCCGAAAGGTCGGCTAAAAGAACAACTGCGGGTTTGAATTTATATATTCACTAACCAAACTTTGAGGAAAGTGAAATTACGATATATACACAGGACCACGTAACCAGCCTATGCAATACTGTAGCGAGTATATTGTGTAGAAGTTTAACTTTTTTCTGTAGAATATATCATAGTCGTGGACCTTCCGCAGAAGAATTATTGAGTCTTGAATGCGAGAGAGAACAGGAAATATAAACTGGAAAAGAACTAGAGTGTGTTTATAGTTTATTTCAGATGACACCTTCTTCGAAGTTTGCTTCACATGAAGAAGATTAAATAATTATATTAATAAAAAATATGTTTTATCGGCGTCAAACGAATCCAGTGTACTTCAATTGCCACTGCGTACATTACCGGCTGAGCTACCAGATACGGGCAACTAAAAGTGTAACTTAACAGCAGCTGGAGATTACAAACTTTTAGAGCCGACCATTTGTTGAATAAAACAACAAAACAAGCTTCATGGAGTCGAAATTCACTTAAACACGTGCCAAAAGTATAAACGTAAAATTATTATTATAAGAATTAACCATTGCACTTATATTTGAACACAACATTTCTAAAATTAAATAAAAAATTTAGCTTTATGCATCATAAAGTTATTCATACATTACTCATACGCCACGTAAAACCCACACGCACACAATTTTTATTAGTTATTTAAAATTGAATATAACCGTTATTTGTACACTAATTTGCAGTGTGACTCACATAAAGTATCATGGCTTACACATGTATTTGAACAACTTTTGTTACCTTGAAGTTGCAATGCTACGTCAAATAATAAGCGCAGACCAAAAGCGGCATAAATAGCATTGACGCATTCGTGCGGCGGTGACAGTGGTACGTGCCGTTCGGCAAAAAATGCGCCGATAAGCGCAAATTTGCAAAGTAACTATGTCAATAGCTGCACACATAGGATTTATTGGGACACGGTTAGCATCTTTTGCTATTGATTTGGCAAATGTATCAAAAGTGACCAGCAACAAGTTAATATTTACATATTTTGTACCCTTAAATACTTGAACTCACGCCTGCGGTTATAATTTTGTAATGGGTTTGACCCGAGAACTGAGTGAACATGTGCCCTGCGCAGAATATTGTATCAGTAAATTTTCCTAAAAATGATGGTAATTGCGCTGTGCGGTTGTCAATAATTTATACTTCAACGTGTTGTTTATGAGATAATGAATTGGAAAATTATATACAACAGCAAACATTGTGACAGAATCGTTTAACTAATAACCAATAACCAAGTGGATGCACGAAATTTTTTAAGGACTCTTTACTTTCTTACTTGCTGCTTTCATTTGTTTGCTTTGCAGCTGATTGAATTTACAGCTATTGTTGTGTCGATATTAAGGTAGGGTACTGCAATATTGCGTATTTCTCCGAAGCTCTGATTATGAATAACTCATTCATGTCGGAATTATTATACCATATACTTGAAGCTGTAATAGTAGCTGTCGACAAGCAACCGTTATTATATCTGCTGTTTGACAGAAAGCATGGTTTTGCTGAAATCACCTCTCGTTTAATACTATTTATGGCTAGAAATACCAAAAATATAGAAATTTTTCTAATTGTATTGACAAAAGGCTAAGCTTGACAGGTTGTCGTCATATATGGTCAGGTGATTCTGCGATCGAAAATTCCCACCCTTGCTTACGTTGTTCCTCTTTCTTAAATTAATCTCCCTCTAATATTCCAAAATACTCCAAACCTTTATTACAAATAAATGACGCTTTTTTTAATGTTACATTGCCTTCTCAAGCTTTTACCAAGCATTCAAGGTTCAAAGTGACGCTGAAGTCTATAAAATAGTCCTCTGGTACAATGACGATTTTGCGTTAAAAACTTTGACTAACAAATGGCGGGTGTTAGCTGTAAACTTGTATATATAGTGCGCATCTTATTTTAGATTTGTTTTCCTAATGGCCAATAATCGATTATGTAGAAACACTAAGTCAAATATAATATGTTCGCAAACTAAATTATCGACCCGTCCAAATTGTTAAGCCCTGTACATTATTAAGGGAAAACAATTTGCATAAATTCAAGTCGGGATAAATAAATATTTTGAAAGGGCTGAGCTTGCAATGGACAGTCTTTTGTTCCCACGATGTTTAACTCAAATGTAAATGATTCACTTTAACATTTACTTCGCTTTGCTCCAGACTGTTGCATTGACATAAGGGTTTGTATGAGTTCGTTTACATGGAGTCGAAGCAAATGAAAATCTTGGGCAACTCTTATATTTTTATGCTTTGACGAGTAGCAGTCGCCATTTTTATTAGAGAGAAGAACGGAAAACAAAGCTTTCATATAGATGTACACTATGCTTTCCTCGCTTCGTGGTTAAAGTGTGTACTGTCAAGCAAAGTGAAGAAAGTTTACCACTATTTAGGGTGTGTCTAGTATCTACTCTGGTTGGACTATATTTTGTTTATTGGACTTACCATAATCATTACTTAAACCATCATAAATGTGGCACCGCCAAATTTGAGAAGAATTCTATGTCTAGGAAAATATTAAGCGTCTTAGCCAAATATTCGCAAATTTTGAGGTTATAAATCTTCAGTATGAGTATATTAGCACATTAAATACTTGTTATTCCAATTGAAATTAATCGAGACTGTCACTTGGTGGATCAAATTTGTTTGAACTGAAATATTAGTTTCTTCTTAACTGAGAGTAGCTTTATTGTGGATTCAATGATTTTGAAACAAAAAATTCGTCTTAATAAAATTAGATATTTGCATCTTTATTTATACAATTACGCTTTTGTTTGGGAATTTTCCATTTTTTGTGGCACATATCTGCCATTTTCGCGCCACACACAGATTAATTAAGCACTGACATGTTTTTTCTTTTTGGGAAAATATCCACACGTATTGTTGAGTCAACTGAAAGAAGAAGCAATCGATTAAGATAAGTACAAACAAGAAAAAACGTTAACTTCGGCTGCACCGAAGCTGGAATACCCTTCACAAATAACGAAGTTTCTATACAATAACTTGAATTTGAACATTCAGCTTGTAAGACAACTATATAATATAGTATAATATAGCCCAATCTAGAAATATTGTACCGCTGCCTTAAGAAATAATATATACCAAATTTCGTAAAGATATCGCGTCAAATACAAAAGATTTCCATACAAGGACTTGATTCCGATCGTTCAGTTTGTATGGCTGCTATATGCTATAGTGTTCAGATATCGGCGATTCCGACAAATGAGCAGTTTCTTGTGAAGAAAAAGATGGGTGCGAAATTTTAGATCAATATCTCAAAAACTGAGGAACTGGTGGGTGTATATACAGACAGACGGACATGGCTAAATCGACTCAACTCATCATGCTGATCGTTTAGATATATATTTTATAGGGTCTCTGACGTTTCCTTTTTGGGTGTTACAAACATCGTGGCAAACTTAATATACCCTCTTCAGGGTATAAAAATGTGACTATTCGTAAAACAAACTGTATTTAACAATATCAATCAAAGAAATTGCAAATGCCAGCAAAATTAATATAATATACAAATGTAACACAAGTACAACACTTATATTATTTTGTCAGAACGTATAAACATAGTACGTGTATATGTGTATATAGACAAGCTTTTCTATACAAGCTTTACTATACAAGCTTACTTGTACATATGTATGATGATTGAGACTTTTTATTACCTCACGCGTCTACTCTATATTCAACTGATCAGCGATTTCGTTTTAGTTTTGACAGCTCCGTTGACTGACGTCAATTCTCTTTTCTCTTTATTTTTCTAAACAACCTCGGGGCTGTACTTCCTAAATTGCATTCGAATTTTCATCTCAAATGGAAACGTATGGACTTACTAAGCCGATATACAATACAATAAATATTATTAACAGCCAAAAGGAAGCTATTTTAAGGGGTATGGCCACTGTAGCTGTAGCACTTATTAAGTTTGAACTTTAAGCTGATGAAAAATTATTATTTTTGGTTAATTTTGTACGATATTTTTTTAAGCGCGCCGATGCGAGACATTTAGCATCCATAATTGTCGTTCTGGAACAAAATAAATAAAACGTCTTCAATTCACATGAGCATACCCATACTTGTAGAAGTACGTAGGGAAATTTGAAAATATTGATTCCTTTAAAAATTGTAGGCATTTGAACAGAAAATTAGATTTTTAGCCAATCATTTCGTAATAAACTGGCCATAAAAAAAGTTTTGAAACAATAGAAATTTCCCTACGTATTTCGATGCAAAATTGAATTTTAAAGATAATCTCAAATTTGAAGTCGATCGGATAAAAATTGTCAAAGTCAAATTTGTCTCGCGAATTGGAAAAAAGTACAATTGTTTTGATAAAAACGCGATTAAAGTTTCACATAGTCTTCAAAGGAAGGTCTTCAAAAACTTGTCTGTAGTGCGTGAGAAATACTTTCGGTACATCTTATCAAAATTTAGAAAAATCACCGAAAAGTTTCGAATAGAAAGAAATTTATACTAGCTAACGCAAAATTGTCTCGAATATATGTAGGCATGTTGTTGCAACAATTATCAA